TTTGTTTAGTTGAATAGGCCGTCACAATAACAATAAACATTTAGCCCTGCAAATGGCACACACCAGAAATCCAAGTTGGCCCGAAGGTCGAAGCAATTTCACGGATCTATTGGACGGGGGAGCAAGACACCCTCCTATATCATTCTTTGATCGGTTGCTTTGATATCGTAAAAATGTTTATTGATTATTTCAGTATATTGTTTATGCTGGCAAAGAAATTCGCCGTTCCCAGTGCTGAGCTAGACACTAATTTCCAGCCTCGGACAGCAAATTCCATTCCCGGTCGTTTGTTTCGAAATTCTCGTGCGAAGCCCCAATAAAAAACGAGAACCAACCCAGCCAAGTTTTGTTGATTTTATATATTTTATGCTAATGTGTTAGCATATACCCTCTATAAACTAAGGGGTATATTAGTTAGGTTAGGAGGTATTCCCCCAGCAAAGTCAACCCTTCAAGTTAGTGGCCTGATGTCCTTTTTTTCAGGCCTTTCCCTTCGGGGTTGTTGGCCTCGAATTCCGAGTAACAGTTGCCCCCAGAGGCCGTTCTTAGGGGTGACCAATGATCCAATAAAACCAACTAGCCAGCCAATCAACCACCAGCTGTTCTTTGGCCAAAACGAAACCGGTTTTCCCCCGCCTTGGCCAAAAGCAAACAAAGGTCCTCATTGTTTTGCAAAAAAGCAAAATCGATAAGATCTCTGCACTGATAGCCGGCTCGAAGTCTCCGTATGGCTCGAATGTCAATAGACCTGGTTATGACTTATGGCAAATGATTTGCCACACTGACGCGTGTCTCTCAGGCCAGCCTCAGCCTCGGCCGCACACAGATGCAGATACGGAGATACATTTGTATCTGTCCGTCGACAATTTGCCACGGCAGGTAAGGAGAGGAGAGGAAACGTGCCGCAGTTTTGCACCTGCCGCCTACGTGGCTGTCAAAGGGAAGGGCGATAATAGAGAAAGAGGAGAAAAGAGAGCCAGCTGAGTGCAGAGGAGTGGGGAGGCAACAGCTGTGAAAATTTATCAGTTCGGGCCAAGAGTTATTAGAGCCGAAGACAGAGGCTGGAGCGTACAGTGACAGAAATTGGGGCAACACATGGGCCAGCAAATACTTTTATTTTTTATACAATTTATATTTTATTTTACGTGCAGACAGCGGCAACTGTTGTCATTAGCGGAGACGTTAGACATTGAGCTTGCTAAATATGGGTTCACTGAAGTTAGCCGACAACGTCGCCACAAACTAGTACAACAAGAGGCAACAACTATGCGACGGGCTAGTCTGGCTAGTCTAGCCGTAGAATGCAGTTAACAAACGACTTGGTTTATCTGGGAAAAAAAAAATCTGAAAAGTACTCCATTGACTGACGTTCTTATTAGAAGTCGAGTTTTCATTTTCAAGCCCGGCAAGCCTATTAGACACTCGAACAAAAAATACCCACACTTGACTTGTAATTATTTGAATAATAAATTTTAAACTGTAATCTAATCTATAGATTTTTTGTAGAAAGGCTTTGCCCCTTTTCTCGCCGTGTTTTCTCAAACAATACCTCATAGAACTTCCTGCTACTGCTGACTAATGACGGACTTTAATAGCCCGGGCCTTATCAGCTGAGATCATAATAACTGACCAATCGACTTGGCCCGAAATTGAGTGTGCGAAATTGTTTGCTTAGTGTGTTTACCTTCTGATTCGAAACTTGCCGCCGAACACCATTTTCATGTGGTAGACGGTATCCAGTATTGTGAAATCCAATTTGGCTGGGACGAGCCGCCGCGCACTCCAAGATACAACCAGATGCAGAGATACAGATACAGCACGGACACCGAATTGACAAAACCGACGAAACTTGCGTGATATCTTTCGCTTCCTTTTTTTTGTTTGTCAGTTTTTTGTTGTGGTATTTTTTTTATTTAAAATTTGTAACTTTTTTTCTTTGCAAATGCTATGCAGTTTGTTGGCCTAACATTTGAACCCGCGCGCCACTGGCTATGCCTTTTCTTCACTTGGTTTTTGGATTATTTTGGGTAGCAGGAAGTGGCTGACAACACTGGCCTCGGCAAAGTGTCACGATTGTTTTGCATTTTTAATTGCCGAAAACTTTGGTATGCAACTGATTTATTTTCACACGCGTTTCGTTACTTTCCTGACCAGGAGCTGCGCGAACGTCCGATCGCGTCAGCGGTTTTTTCTCGTTTGAGATACATTTCACATTTTACAGATACTCCGACCGCAGCAAAACCCACCCGAGAAAAGCGGCCCAAAACACACACTCCAGCCCAGAGCCGGTTCGCTTAAGAGAATATCGGCCAGCTAAGAGAGCGCTAATGCGGCTTACCAACTGTTTGTTGGCTAAACAGAGTCACTGGCCAGGAATTTTCGCAGGTGAATAAAAGCTAAAGTTCAGCATTAATGTTCTAGGTTTTTGCTACGCATTTATGGCTAAAAGTTATTTATGGGCCAATTAATTAAGCCATTTATTGAAATTTTGCCAAGATGGTTATCATCCAGATTTTATTACCAGACTTTGGGTTTGCTCTCTTAACAAAAGAGAGACTATTTTGAGAGCTCTTGATAGAGAAAAACCGTTGCATACTTCTGAGGTGCGAGGTAAAGACCTCTTCCGCGGCCATTTTCGATGTTGCCCCCAAAAGCAGGCTACACTTTTCGTAAGTTTCGAACAAAAGGAACCTTGTACGAACCATAAAAGGTTTTACAATATATATTCCTGTTCTCTGCTATCGAGATCCCATTCTCCGATCTTAATAAGCTTTATTATGAGCAGTACCCTGCAACCGTCAGTACCAATCCCACAAATCCATTAAATTCAATCACCTTTTGTTGCAAATGGCGGACTGACGCCGAGGTTCTCTCATCGCCAATCTGTCGCTGCTGTTGCATCGTCATCGAGCAAAGTTCAATCGATCATTGGTTGTATATTGTGCTGTGCTGTCGATATTTAGCTGGCGATAGCGAGCAGGAATTATGGCAAACACTTTGTTAAATGTGCTAGCTGGCTGTTAGCCTGGCTCACTGGTAAGCCTGGCAAGCTGCTTGGCTGACAATCTGGCTTGAAATGCTGGCGACGTCGTCGCCTAATCATGGCAACTGCATCGAAAGAGTCGCGACTTGCAGCCGGATAAATTGAATTGTCTAGCATGGCGTTTTCCATTATGTTTTTTCTCGTGTTCCTTTTGCGACTTTGGCAACATGGCGAATGAGTGATTTATAGCGCGCATACGACGCGTGGTCTGTGGTCGGCTCACCTCACAGCTCACAGCTCAATGCTGAATAGTGCCAGTTAATTTGAAAATAATACAGCCCAGCAACACTCTAGTATTGCCAAATTGCCAAAAGAGCGAATTAATTCGGCAAAAGCCTGCACTTTGCTGCGACTTTTTGGCCGACGGCTGTGCGAGGCGATAATTAGAGGCTGTCAAGAGAACACATGGCACACCTTTCAGGGTTTTTTTTTGTCCAAAAGATTTTTTTTTTCTTAGCTTGTAGCTGCTCTAATTGAAGTCAGCCGTGGCAAGAGTGTCTGCAGGTGATCGTCCCGACTGATGCAGTTCGAGAAATGCACCGCGATGACTGCCCTTTGCTCTATTTTCCGCACGCCAAACTTTCAAAATGCAAATTAGGCACGTTCGGTGAACGGCATTTGAACCCTCGATCAAATGAGGAATAAAAACACAACGAAGCTCTCTGACAAGCCCATTTACAAGTTGCCAGCTAAATCGCAAACGAAGCCTTTGGAGTTGAAAACTTTGCCACAAATTGTGTCAATATTTGTCTCGTGCTGGATGCTGCTGCTGCAACAAATCGTGCCGCAAAGGTCTCCCTCGGTGTCAACCGAGTCACCAAGCAAAACAAAACAAAGCCAAACAAAACAAAGCAAAGCAAAAAAAACCAAAAACATGACAGGCTATAGAAATTATTGAACATGGACAGGCCACAGTGGAATAACCCCTCTATATTGGGGTTTAAAAATATTAAATTAAAAGCCTTTATCCCCCAAACCATCCTCACATTTAAACTCAAAATATACTTCAATAGCTTTCGATTTCAAAGACCCACAACCACTGTACCGAATGAGCCTGAACTCTGTGTGTAGCTTTGAGTTATCTAATGCCCGAAAATTGGGTGCGATGCCATATAGTGACTGCAAAAAGTATGCGCTCGGTGCGCTAATGAACCGGCCGGCGTTCATCTATCAATGTCAGCCTCAAAGCCCCGTCCAAGAATGGACCTTTTCGATTTTCAATTTGATTGGCTTTTACCGGCACAATCAGAACAAAGAACCGAGCCACCGAGGTGGGTTGGGGTGGGTGGTGAGTGGTTTCATTAGCGAATGCTGGGGACAAAGTGGTGCTAGTGGGGGAGTGGTGGTGCTGCCCACACGCCAAGGAGCCAAACATAAATCGTTGTTTGGTTGACACATTTTTTGTTATTTTTTTTTTTTTTGGTTTGTTGGTTGTGCCAGCTCAGGTGGCGTTTAGAGATTGGCAACTGCCGACTGGACTGGAACTGGGACTTGGACTGAGACTGGAGCTGGAGCTGGAGTTGATCGGGTTTAGTGGGTCGAAAGCGAAAGTCGGGCATTCGAGTATTTCATAATCCAATTAAGCATTAGGCGACAGCTGATTGACGGCCAGGCCGTGGCAAGGAAGCGGCTCATTAGCCAAGATCGGCAGAGCTGGCTACCGTGCCACGCACTCCATTCACAGTTAATTGGATTCGATAAGGTCAAGAACAATAAGTTTATGGCTGGGAGTGCCCGAAAGTGGGCGATTTAAGCCGTGCTGACGATGCGGCCGAAGCTAACTGAATACATTAAGGCCTGAACGCGTTTAATGGCCTTCGTGGTTTTCTTAAAAAATACAAGATTTTGAATCTAAAAACTAAAGCCACCTTGAAAATTTCACTTAAGAGAAGGTTCACTTAATATATCCTTAAAATACATATTATAAACTATAAGTTATTATAAAGTAAAGACTCACCTTTTCTGCTGATTGCTTTCCAAATTACTGGCAATGACGTGGTCATGGGCGTTGTTTCTGGCTCGAGGCAGCAGGGGCGGTGGCGGTGGCGCCACATTCGAGTTGCTGGCCACGTTTTCGAGGATGGGCTGCGTCGACGGCGTATGATGCGGCCGCTTGCGATTGTTAGTGGGCTGGTGGCTGCCACCACTGGCTGCCACTGCCACTCCGTTGGCGAGGTGCTTGTGCTGCAAAACATGGAAATAAAATCAGCAATCAAAATGCAATTCATAGACGGTAGCTGGCAAAACCCACCTGCAAGCTGGTGGGCTTCTTGGGAACTAGAGGAGGCACCTTGGCTGCCACGGGCACTATGTTGGATGGTGGCGCTGCGTAGGCGGTGCGACGTGTGGAGCCGGCTCCGGCGAAGCTATTCCGCCGATTGGGCGAGGGCGGCGGACGTTGCTGCAGCACTTCCGGCGGCGGTGGGGGTGGCAGCGGTTCGTCGAAGGTATAGCTGGTGTCCAGTTCCCCGCTTTGCGGTGGTGGCGGCAGCTCCGGCGACGGAACCCGTAAGTGGGGATGCTTGGGAGGACGCTCGGGTGGCATATGGCTGTTGCTGCGATGCTGCTGTGGATGGTGCTGCTGGTGGGCCAGGGCGGCGGCCTGTTGCAGAAGCAGCATGTCCCGCATGGGAGCGTACTCCGTGGCCGATGAAGTCCTCCGCGTGGGCAGGGCCACACGACCTCGCGGAGGAGGTGGTGGTGGGGGTAGGGCACAGTCGTTGAAAGACATCTTCTCGGCACTGCTTATGTTGCGGATGCTAGGCGGCCTCTGACCTTGTGCCTGACCATGCCCCGACTGGTACATCTCCCTGAACTCTGCATAGTCCGAGGCGGAGCTGGATCGTCGCAGGATGTTGGGCAGCAGACTGCGGGATCTGGGCGGAGGAGGAGGTGGTGTCGGGGAGCTGCAGTCCCTCGTGGACGAAGAGGGGGGCAGACCCACCATATTAGGACTAAGGTTGTTTGGCAGAGACTTCCGTTCGCCCTGCAAGGACTGATAGGATTGAGAGTGTGGACGCAGCAACTGTTGCTCCTCCTGCCGCTGATGCTGCTGCTGCTGCTGCCGCTCCACGTAGGACTGCACGGCGTTCTTCTGGAGCGCCTTCAGAGCCGGGTTGGGAAGGGCGCGGGTCTTGCTCGGCTCCAGGTAGGTGAACTTTGGCGGCTCCCCCATCTGATTGCGTTCGAAGTCGTTGATCCGCTCGGCCACCGAATGCCAGGTGGGCTGGACAGTGGCTCCAGCTGGCGTTATCACAGGTAGTCTGAGGAAAATATTCACAAATTAGGGTAAAGTCTCAACAAAATAGAGGAAACCTACTTGTTGGACTTGTGCAGGCCCGAGCTGAACTGCGGCTTGGGGTGTTGCACGTACTGCGAGGTGTTGCTGTGCACCGGCTCCGTGTAGGTGCTCACCGGAAAGAGGCGGTGGTTGCTACGATAGGAATCACTCGGCGTCGGTGGGCTCTGCTCTCCCACGTTGGGTGCACTGCAGCTGAGGGCTTCCGTCTGCAGTTTGCTTGGCTTGCCGGCCGGTGGCTGAGGAGCTATGCTGACCACCGCCTCGCTGCTGGAAATGGTCACCGAGATGCTCGACTTGTGCTGCCTGCCCAGCTGGGGATGCTGCTGCTGCTGCTGGAGATCGCCCATGGAGTGGGATTGTCCGAGGTGGGAGCGAGGCTTTTCAGTCGGGGACTCCAACTCTTGCAAGGAACTGTTTGTGCTCAGCTTGGACTGGTAGTGGTGGCCCTGGTGATCCTGCTGCTGCTGGAAGTGGTGGAGAGCCATTGAGGTGTGCACGGGCGGGTAGCTGGGACTGTGGCGGTGCTGCACCCGCATTGGTTGCGCCACACTGCCACTCCCCTCCTCAGATATCGCCTTGGTCGCCGAGGAGACGACTTTGGAGGAACTGCCTTCCGCGGGGGTGCCGCTCTGGGCTGCCGGATCGCTGTCGTGCAGGTACAGCACACTCTCGCTATGGTGTCGCTTGGGGGTCAGCACCCGGGAGCTGTGCACAATCAGCTGCGAGGAGGAAACTGCAAGACAGAGAATGGCTGGATTAGGGCGTGTCCTCCAACTCGTTGGGGGCATTCTAAAAAGGAGCAGTTGGTAGCCAGCGGTAAAAGTGGGCCAACGGCAAGCCAAGGTCGTGGGTGAGTGGGTTGCCTGCCTGCCAGTCGCCACACAATTTTTTTGGCAGCCTTCTCTTATTACAGCCGGCCACCCATTCACCCCGAAAAACTGCTGTGACCTGACTCGGTCTAAGCCATGATTACATTTTCTTGTAAAATAATACCCAGCTATACTTGAATAAAATAAGCTTACATGGAGTTTATATCTTTGCCAATTGTAACCTGCTATTCAGGTGAACACCTTAACGAATCGTGGATTAATTTTGTTTAAATCTAATTTAAAACCTTGGAACTACACTTTAAGTTTATATTTATCTATTTTTGGTTGGGAACTCCTTCTGAAAACTAGAAGTTGCTTAAATGCCATTACAACATGCTTAAAACTTTGTAAATTTTAATCCGATCCCTAATGGGACTGCCTTAAACAATTTGTGGCTCTATTCCCAATTATTCGGTGGCAAGACCTCGCTAATCACTTTTTTATCGTTAATTTTTTCCTTTTTTCCTGATGACCCCTTATAAAATCCACGGTTTCCATATATGACCCCCTTCGATGGCTATATCTTTCGCAATTTTCAACCGATCCTTAAAAGGAGTACCTTTAACGATTTGTGGATCGATTCTCTATTAATCTGTATCAAAAACCTGGAGCAAAATTTTTTATCGAAATTTTTCACATTTTTCCTAATGGACCCCTTGTAAAATCCAGTATTTTCAGATATGCCCCACTGTGATGACCGTATTTTCCCCAATTTCCATCCGATCCCTAAAAGGAATACCTTAAACGATTTGTGGATCGATTCTCTATTAATCTGTATCAAAAACCTGGAGCAAAATTTTTGATCGAAATTTTTCACATTTTTCCTTGTAGAATTCAATGTTTTCAGATATGCCCCACTGGGATGACCATATCTTCCCCAATTTTCATCCGATCCCTAAAAGGAATACCTTATATGATTTGTAGTTCTATTTTTTTATCGATCCATGTGAAATGAAGCAACATGTTACCTATATAATTACTTTTCATGGACTCACCCGATTCGGCAATGGCGCTATAGCCTGTGACATGACTCGCTTCGGATATATCGCTCATGGAGCCCAGCCATTTGAGAGTTTCCGTGGAGGAAGTACTTTCGGAGCTGTTGTTGTTGTTCCCAGATCCGTTGATGGTGTTGTTGTTGGGACTGGAGGAGGCGGAGGCGGAGGAGTTGGCATGGGAATGTGAATGAGAGTGGGAATGGGAATGCGACTGGCGGCCGGCCATGATGGGAATGGGCGACGGCGCCACGGAGGTGCTGCCAACGGAGGAAAGATCGTTCTCCGACCAATGATGCGACTGCCGCGACAGCAGATCGCTCTCCTGACGTAATCTGCAAATAGACCATCAAGTTTTGGTTAAAGTACCACTGGAGCTGGCTGGAGCTTTTTGGCAAATCATTGCGTGCTACAGAAATTTGTGATTTCTGGTTTCTGGTTTTTCTTACTATTTTTATTTTTTCTATTTTCGCATGGCCGCAATTACTTGAATTTCTTGCTCAGCCTTCGAATAGTTGGCTGGCCGTAAACATACATAGATACATGGTGGACTCTCTTCACCACTTGGGGCAAGTTCACCGACAGCCAGACAATCCGAAATCCGAAAGACAGACAATCAGACAGAAAATAGAAACAGAGTTGAATCTGAAGCGGAGACGGAGCCAAAAGACCTTGAGAGCCGGGCTTAAGCTGCTCGTTTTCGGTTTTATTTCTTCATATCTTGGCCCATGTGCTTGGCTCAAATGCTTTTTGCGTTACCAAGAATTTTTTATGGCGTTTTTTAGTGTACAAATAAAATTCATAATTGTCGCTCGGCATTTGATGCGAGTATGTGCGAGGAAAAACGTGTTTGCAATGCAGTTACACAGCGAGAAATTAGAGAGCTTAAACGACTATAGTAGTTGTATTTGGATTCCCAGAAGTTGGAGTAATAAGAACCAGTTATACATTGTTTGCTTTTCTCACTGCATCGCAACAATTTCCTCTGCGACTTTCCCAGTTTACAACTTACTTATCCAGAAATGGCGTGGCCGAGTCCGAGCTGGACACATAGCTGTGGTAGCCCTCGGACTGGGCATAGGAGGCCTGCTTCTGGTGGTGGAAGGCCGTCTGCTCGTAGTAGGATGACGATCTATTGTTGTACTCCTCGAGTCCGGCCTGGGTTAGGCCGCACTGGTCCGGGGCCTTGTGGTGGGGCATCGGCATCATATCATCCTGCAAAAATCAAGCGGAGAGAAATCATTAGTTGTTGCATAAGTTCCGAAAGACATCAGCCCAAAAATGGTTTAAAATCATTAGTTATGCGACCGTCGCGGCTCACATTTGCAAATGATCCGCAGCCGTAATTATCCCCCCAAAAATAAATACACAAATCCGAAATAATTCCGTTGGCCCGTTCATTAGATAATTAAGAGAAAATTATTGCAGTGCACTCGATGCAATTGCCAAGAAACAAACATATTCGAAGTATATATATTATCCACATAATCCACAATGGGGCAGGGAGGAGTGGCAGACGAGGTAGCAGACGGATACGGCCAAAAACAACAACTATCTGGCAACAGACAAAGCCAAGCGGAGCGTCCATAATAAGCCGGATTAAGTAATGTTGTGCACAAGACGAGCTTTCTGGGACTTCGGAGCTCGCTTGTAGCTCGATTGGAGGTGGAAGCCACATGAACGGAGGGCTCCGATGCCTTCAAGCCGTGATTCATGCTGCGATATGGTGATCAAGTTCACTGAATTGAGTGAAAATTTGGTAATATCGAAGTGAACAAACAGAAAACACGATCACCAAGCACCCAAGCACCCAGATTGAAATGCACTCGAATAGTTGTTAGAGTTAACAGGTAATAGTTGTTTGCTTTCATCGAAAAATTTGTTTATTTTCAAAAAGATAATTGCTATTAAAGTTTTCCGCATTAATCTATCATATGCATGTAAAGATCACTATCTCTGTCTGTGAAACTCCCCTAGAGCCAAGCCCCATATCTTTACCCTCAATTGGTTTGCCATCCCTCGTGTCGTATACTTAATTTTTTTCTCGTAAACCACATCGAATTGTAAATACTCAAGCATAGAGCCGAAACATATGGAGAAACAGAGGCCAGAGAAATACAAAATATAAAAAATATAAAAAACTAACGTTCAAAATAAAACTAAAACGAAACCAAAAACGAAACGTTACAAGACCAAGCCTTTAAGCCACTTGACTGACTTGGCTTGAAGTCTCGATTGCATTGAGATTGCCGGATTGTATGGTTTTTTTTTTAATATATTATATATACATATATATATAATGTGATTTTTTATTGGTAACTATGTGGGCAGCAGCTGCTGATTGTCTTTTTGACTTTGGCGCCACAAAAGCAGCAGAAATAAATCAGAAAATCATAAATGCTTAATGGCAATACCTATATATTATAATAATAATAATAATAACGAGTCACATGACTGACAGTCACCGATATGCAATAGAACCATTTTCTGGGTCAACTACTTGGGTTGGAACTTAAAAATCAAAGTCTGTCTTTCGGTTTCTTGCCTTTTTTTATGTGAGCTGCCTCTAGGGCGCATCGAAAAGAATTTTAATGGTTCCAAGCCACTCTCTGAATATTCCCAAGAGACCAAAAAGTCATTCATTCATTCACTTACTCACCCAGTCAGTCCGTCAGTCAGTCGATCGTCGTGCAGTTTCATTTCGTTTTTGGGTTTTGGTTTTCGGTTAAGTTTGGCTTTTTTGTTTACTGCTTTTTGGCCAATTGCCGTAATTATTGTGTCTCTCTAACACGAATTTAAATCAGCAACTGTCCCACGGGGCCCTTTGCTATTTTTTTCTTCTTTGGCCCAGAGAAACCTCTCTAGTCGAAAACCCATAATTATCGGCCACAGCTGGGCTTTACATTACCCATGTGAAATTGGTCTGGATGAGCTGGATGGGATGGAGTTGGAGGAACTGGAGGAACAGCTCCAGCACAATAAATCAATGGTCGGCCCAGGCATGGAGATGAGGCTAGGAACTAGAGAGCTAGAGTAACTAGTGCACTGGGTCACAGCTGGTGATCCGATCCGTTGGATTCTTAATGATCCCGTGCCATGGGCAACTTCGACTTCCGTCCCGAAACCTGGGCGCGTGTTAAATAAATCACTTGATGAATTGTGCCAAGTGGCCTCTGGTCGATCTGGCCGGCAGGAAAAGGCAAACAAATTGCCTGGGAAACCTGACAGGGAAAGGTGAATGCTGGCGGGCCACGGGGCGTATGCGTAATATTCGACAAACTATTAAAATTATATCAATAAAGGAGAGGAAGGCCTCCAACGAAGCCCAGAGCCAAGGGCTAGGGGTATAATAGACGTATAATTAGAGAAAAATGCTTTGTTTGTTTGTCCAGTGAACTTCAGTTTCCGTTTTAGTTTCTTTAATTGTTTTGGGAGATTTCCCATTTTCCCCATGAACTTTTCTACATAAATCATGTTATTTGCTTTAAAATAATAGATATTTTAATAAAAGAGTAATTAATGGGTTTTATAGGAAAATTACTAAAGACTTGAAAGAATCTCCACTGTATATGGATTAGTCAGCCAACTTATTGCCTTGCATCCAGTACATTTTTGAAGTGTTATCAAAGTCTGACTCATTTGGTTCAAAGAAGGCCAGTTAGTGGGTTAGTCAGACTGTCAGTCGCGCTTTTTTGATAAGCGACTGGGAGTCTGAGACTGGGGGAAATGGAGAAATGGAGACAAAGAGATAGACAGCCGCCCACATGTCTCGAAGAAATGCGGAATTCGCGGCGAGAATGCACTTGGGGATTTCTCCGGCTGAAAATCAGCTTTATTCGCATTTTCTTTTTTTGGCTTGCTGCTGGCCGGAATGATTTCGTGAGGAAAATTTGGGTTTTTTCGGGTTTTGTTTTTTGGTCTTTTTGATTTGCGTTTTCCATTGTCGCTGGCTTTTAATGGCCAACACGAATTTGACTCTTTCCAGTGGAGAGCTGAGCCGGAATCTCCATCTCCTCCGACTTGGCCGAAAAGAAAAGAAATTGCAATCAAAATGCGAGCAAACGTGTCAGTTGCCAACGTGGCTTCAACCTCTCGGCTCGGTTTCCAGCTTCAGCTTCAGTTTCAACTTCAAACCCAACTCGAGCTTGGTGCGGATCGTGCTGCGATTTGGATTTGAATTTGGCAATTGGCAAGAGCACGAACCAGTCGGGGGAAGCCCGCAGGCCTCGAGCATTAGAATTGAATTGCAAAGAGCCACAAAAAACCCAAAGAAATAAAATGAGAAAAAAGTACAAGAAAACCAAAGCCCCTTGGTCTGGAGACCATTCAAGTCCTCCCGCCCGGACTTATGCTTGCGTGCTATATTGGCCATTTATCGTCAAATTAAACGCATATCGCTGTCAATCTGCGCCCAAATTGGACACAGTCACAAAACGGCAGTCAGGCAACGGACAACGGGCAACGGGCCAGGCCAAAACCAATGGCACACTGGCTCAAAGCGAGGTTTATTAATTGTTTATTATTAAAGGAAAGGGGAAATAAACGCTTAGGACTTGCTTATTTAGGCCTTTCTTAGACTCTTGGTATTGATATACTTTCCAGGAACTATAAGCTCCCTTTAGGCCAACTTTTGACCACTGTCTTATGGCCAGAAGCTACGCTTTATAAGCTTTATAAAATCACACTTTCGCGGGGGTAGCCCAAAGGAAAGGCGATGATGTGTGGCACTTCCAGTTCGATACTCCTTTCGCCAAAGCTGTCAAGTCCCCGGCTCTGGGCCCTTTATGTAGGCCACCGATGAAAGTGAATCTGAGTCTGAGGCGGGTTCATTAGTAATAATTTCTGGCATCTCGCCGTGGGTGAGTGCGTCTCATTAGTGTGAATGAGTTTATGCAATGAAGTGAAATGGTTTTTGCGGTTGGGGGGATCAGGATCTGATCCGATCGGATCGGATCGAATCGTATCGGAGGCATCCTTGACCTCAATGGCCGCTTGTGGCGTTAATAACTTTGGCGAAACTGGCCAGGCCGAGCGACAGAGAACTGGTAATGGACACGGCAACTGGTCCACCAATCTCCACTGGCATATTGCATCCATAGTGTCCATAGCTCTGGCCTGGTATGTCGACTTGGCCCGGCTTGGCATGCGGCTAGATTTATGGCCTGTGATAAGTTTCAGGCGTGCAGCAAATAAGAACGAACATGGCCAGCCAGGGAACGCAACGAGGCCAAAAAGGAGTCTGCGACAAGAACAAATAAATTGCCAAAAGACACTAAGAAAAAAGGAAAACATTCCAACAGATAAAAAGCTAACAAGTAGAGATATGTATTGTTTTCAGTGCAGCAACCCCCAGCAACTGGTTCTCGAGATGCGGGAGAATGCCAGCTCCAGAAGGTCAGAAGAACACGTACACATATCGCAATTTATTTATATATATATTTGTATTCAAGATATATGCATATCCAGACCCAAGACCCCGAGCTCACATCAGTTTAGTCCAGTCAGCGAAGCGCAACCAGAAACCATGTGGATGTGGAAGAAGTGGACTTGGTTTCCATTTTGGACTCACTTCTCGGACTCACTTTCACACATCTGCCAATGGAAAATATTTGCCATAATTAGCCCTGCTGCGAGACCCTTAATTAGCCAAGCCCCACTGGCCAAGCTGGCTAAGAAATATCTTAAGAAATCTGCGCAAAAAAGTCACCATTTCGAACCCAATTAGAAAGCCGAAAAATCTTTCACTCACGTCACTTTCTGTTTTTCCAGCCAAGAAGTGGAGAGGATGTGGTCAGAGCCAGAGCTGGATCCTCCGGCTGCTGGATGACAACACAGAAAATCGTCCGAAATGGCAAATCATGTTTATTTTGGCCAAATTGCAACTGGATCGAAAGGGCAGCTGTCTCTTGACGACTCCACTCGACTTGATTCTTCTAAGTTGGCATTAAATTACGAGAAGAGTTTCAGTTCATTTGCGGCGAGGTTCGATGGCAAGAATTTCAATGGACTTTGGCTGGCTGACTGGCTGTTGCTTCTTGCCACTTCTGCCACTTTTGGCCAACAGCAGCCTCAGCAGGCAGTTGGCAGGCCAACGGCAGACGAATGGATCTCCGGTAATGGGAACAAGTCTGTTGTGTCTCTTTTGCTGTTGACCTCAAAAGTTTTCGTGGCTCGGATGTCGCTTTTTGTCTGCTGGCGGAGAAACAAAAGTGAAATTTGTTGCTCGTGTGGGTTCAAGAACTAGCCGAAAAATCAGTCAACAACGGAAAATGAGAGCCAACGGCACTTGGCCAAGACGGGCCAAAAAAAAGATGCATTTTCACTTGGCCTGTTAATTAATTAAGGCAGAAGGCAGCAGGCAGAAGCATAAGCAGTGGCATCAGTTTGCTCATAAAGAAATCTTTATGCCTCTTGGCCAGAAGAGGTAGTTCAAGTTGTGCATACAATAAGCCATGTCCGGAACAATGGGTACATAGGTGAAATTTTCCACTACATTTTTCCGGAGGGGAAGACACTAAAGGAGTGTGCGGAGTGTGCACCTGTCGCAATTATTTGTTATAATTTTTTTTTTTATACCCTCTTCTGCTGAAAAAATGCAAACCATCGGCACCGGCAGCGGCAACAAACAAGGAGGATGAAGCTAAAAACCCTGGCGGTGCGAGTTCAAAGACAAGCCAAAACAATTTAGCTGGAATCTGGCTAGAATTTAGCGCTGGCAGGCGGCATTGTTGCTACTTTTTGTTGGCCATGTTGCTATTGCTGTTGCCTGATGTTGCTGCTGTTTCTGTTGATGTTGCTGCCGGACTGTTGGCATTAATTAATTGCAGAGCTGATGCCGAAGCCGAAGCCTCCTAGGCGGCTGTTGTGTGTGAGAAACGAGTCAAGAGTGTTGGGGCTCTGGAGTTAGAAAACTAATGAGCGTTAAGAGCTGAGCTGACTTAAGTCGAACTGAGCTTGAAGCGTTCGACAGGCATTGGAAATGAAAATGAAATACAAGCCAGAAGACTGAAGCCAGAAGACTTGAAACCAGAAGACAGAAGACAGGCCGGTGAAATGCCAGTAAGCCCCGGTGGTTGTGGGATAGCTCTCGAAGCAATTATAATAGAACAAAGAAAATAGGTGTGACTTGGGATTCAATAGGTCTGTGAGATGCGTGTATGAAAAATAAATGGTTTAAGGAAAGACTTTTTGGCGGAAACTATAATTAGTAAGGTCTTCAGGAATTCGGACCTTTTTGGAGCATCTTAGAGAGTGGATCGAAATGTTTATTTATTTCTTAAAATCCCCTCTTTCTGAACCCAAATTCAAATACCTGAGGAGAGTGTATTAAGGCCTAATTGCGCAACTGTGATGGGCCAGGTTCGTTTTGGCTTAGAGAGATCTCTTTTGGCAAAATACGCGATCATTTCCGCGCTTGGCTTTCCTTTTAGCTGCGGAAATGAAGCGACTATTAAGGTGCCCCACTGGCTCCAACTCGATCAGCTCACGAATCAGCCCTAGCTTCAACAAACACTTGAACGAAAACAAAAAAGTAAGAGATTCCAGTGCAACTTCAAGTACTTTGGCTGATTCGACAAAAAAAAAAAAAAAAAAACCAAAAGTACAAAAAATTAAAGAGGCAACCCAACCGAAGACCCTAGGTGAAGTTTTTTTTTTTAACATCCAAAGCCAAAATATTTTTCTTTAGAAATCTGCGCATTCATCTAAAGCAAAGAAGAGGCTGAAGAATAGACAGCAACGACCTTCGTCAGAAGACATCTGACCATTACCCATTACCCATTACAGTTTGTTTTGTCAGGGGCTCTGACTCAAAGCCCAAAGACTCGGAGATTCCGGTACTACTAACGCTGGCATGGGGCGTGGCCACAATTAATTCGATTGCAGCTATAAATAGCCCCCGAAGAGATTGCAACGCCCAGCGGCGCGAGATAGGTGCGTGGAATGTGGCCTAATCGATGCAAAAATATCTGAGCCAGACCCCGAAACTAGTTCTCTGCCACACCACACCCCACCATAGGCGACCACCAGAGCTTGCTGGGGAGCCAGGTTGGGAGTCTCTTCTCTAACAAACTAATAACTGGAACTAAAGCGTGCGCCTCGCCAGTAATTAGCGTTTTGTGTGGGGAAGAGCTTCAGCCCGCAACAGTGTGGTAAGGCAACAAACTACTACTCCACGTACAACACAAAAAAAATTATGAAAAATAAAACGTTACAAATGCCCGAGAATAAAGCGGTTCAATAACCTGCCAGCCATATCCATCCATTCCAGTCCATCGATCTGCGAATCGATCCATCCAGCCATTCTCCAAAGCCCAAGGCCCAAAGGCTACGAAAAAAAAAATAAAGAGAATCAATATCTATGGATCGGGGCTGACTATTTTGCAAGCCGGCGAGGAAGATGATAACAATCGGCAGTGGAAGATGGGGCCACAATTAAGAATCGAGATGATTAATCAATAGACCCCGGCAGACGGGAGTTCTCGGTGATAAGGTCAACGGTGTTCCAATTCTCGACCACGTATTTCTTCAACATCCCAGCCCAGCTATCATCAACACCATCTTGGGTGCAGAGAGAAAAAATTTACGTATTATTCTTCAAGAAAATTAAAATAATTTAGGTTTTTCCAGGAGAGCTTTAAAGGCCTAAAGGTTTAGATAGTTCGATTAAAAGATATGTCCAAAACTTGACCAATTTTTCTCTCTCTGTAGCTACAATGTTCTTGGCATTCTGGTCTTCTCGGTGTTTTATTCTATTCCTCCATGTTTGTAACCTCTTTTCCTATTATTGACCATTTCTCTTTTGGCCGACGCTTTGTGCCACGCTTGGAGGCAATGTTTAATTGATCGGATTCACTTTGATTGATCGGATCGTCGCTGTTGATAATGGTACCGTTAATTTGGTAAATTATTTTGCATTTTAGAAGCAAACCAATCCATTTCCCAATGTGTGGCATTCACGGACCCGGCTTACAATAATTCACTTAAGGTTAATGGGTGACGGGGCGGAGCAAAAAACAAACTTTGGGCCATGTATGATGTGTGTGTGTTTTGGTCTAATAAATGGGATCATTGGGGGCAAGAAGTGAAAGATTCTGGAAACTTGAAAAGCCACAAAAAAAACTAATCATTAAATGTAATTATTTTATTATCCGCGAAGCACCATGTGGATAAGTGATCTCATAAAGCAATCCATAAACAAAAAGTAAATAAAACTTTCTTTTTTTGCAATATTAGTTCTTCCAAGAATAGAAAAAACTACACACCTTGAGCTACATTTCTATAGCTTCCTTATCAGTATTAATTCTTCAACTTTATCGCATCTTTAAGAGGAAAAAACAAAAACGAGTATCTCATTCATTCACACAACCACTTCACACGCAAGTCCACATTCCTACGGCTTCATTCATTGCCAGTTGTCCAATTAATAACTTGCATCCTGGACAAGGAGCCTCCGGCGACTCGGGAGTATCGGGAGGTGTGTCCCATCGATCAACGGATTCTCCCAGATGATCCACAAAAAGCTTCACCCAAAAATAAACAAATCTCTCCAAGTACCGTTTTCGGTTTATTTATTTTTGGGGTCTGAGGAGACCGAGTCTGTCTCGGAGTGACACTCTGAGTGGATGCTGGCGGGGATTTCGGATTTGGATATCGAAAACGAAACTTCCCGAATGGAGGTCAGGCCCATAATTCAATTAGGAACCTGCAGTGGCCCCAAAAATCGAATTCCCAGACCCACTGTGCGTTGCGTGGGCTCTTGGTTGCGTTTCGTGTCGTTTCATTTGATTTGTTTGTTTTTAGCCTTCACTTTTGTTTCATTTTGGCGAGATCTGGGGGACTGGGATCTGCTGGGATCCGGGGGAGCTTGTGACTCAGCCCGGGCGATTGGAATTCTGTGCGCTTTTGAGGATTTATTAACAAGAATAATAAAAACACAAAAAAAGAACTTCGAGTGAGTAGTAGAAGCCCAGTAGAAGGCGAGGAAAAGAAAACCCGAAACCGGTTAGGAATTTTAAGACTTACCTGTACCGAGCCGGCGACTGATGCGGAACTGAAGCTGGCATTGCTGTTGTTGCTATTGCTGTTGATGTTGCGGCTGCCATTGCCATTTCCATTGCTATCCTTTAGCAGGAGCTTGGACACAACCGAAATCTTATTGTTGTTCTCCGGGGGCTCCATTTTGGCCAAGTTGCCGGTTGAGCTTCCATCTCCGCCGTTCAAATCGGAATTTTCCTTATGATTTCTCATTTTTATTTGAGATTTTCAATGCTTTTCTCTTTGCTAATTAATATCCTTAAATTTTCATTGCAAATTCATATTTTTTTAGCCAAAGGTGGTGTGTGTGGAGTGATGCTGGAAGGACACTGGTATTATTACAACATGAGTTTGGGGGTTCGGGGGCTTTTATGAATGTCTTTTTGTAGATCAGAGCTGACCGATTTTCATTTCAATTTTAGTTTCTGGGCCACCTCGGAGTGGAGTTATGATGTAAGCCGTAAAAATACACGAAATAATATGTGTTAAATTATTTTAATTTGGTCTGGCGACATTTTTTGTGGTTGGCTGTGGCTGCTTTGCACTTTTATTTCTGTTATCGGGGTCCGGTCCGCAACTCGCATCTTTGGAATGCAGTGCAGCCAAACCAGTAAGACGAATCCCCACATAGACGGATCGGATAGAGAGGGAGAGGGACATGCAGACGGGAAAGAGACGGGTATGCCAATACAGACAGAGACGGGGCATCTCCGTCGGATGGAGGAGAAAAATTGAATCGATTTCTGTTGACTGCGTCCGTAAATATTTGTTGAGTTATTTGGGTTTTTGTGTAATAAGTTGAGCGTATTATGTGTGTGGTAAAGATTCGAAATGAAAAAAATATATATACGGTAGGTATATGGTATAAAAAAAGTGAACCAGGTTTACATAACATTGACCCACGAGCCTCCAGACGAGACGCGACTGAGGGGTCTAAGCCAATAAACAAGTTTTTGTTGTGCATTTTCAAATGCGATTTGGCGACTGCATTTCGTTTCGGTTGGACAGCAGAGAAGGCTATAAGAAAAAAAAATACTCACAACCCACGCAGTTGGGCTCTTTGAAATGTCATCGTTTTCTGTATGGTTTCCATGCAAATTGATGTCCATTAAAGCCGCAGTTGCAGCTGCCACTTCTGGCCCGTAAACTTCAAGTGTTTAATGCATAATTATGAGCGGTTGCTGCGGCTGCTAAGGCTGGCTATAGCTGCTGCGGAGGCCCAAAGAACTGGAACTGGAATTGGAACTGCAGAAGCTTCGACTTCTAGGAGTAGAAGGCAAAAACTGGATTCTGCCAGGCTGTTGACAAACCCAGACACAAAATGAAGATGGAGGTGCACAGCCAGAAAGATCATGCCATAATGATTCCTAAAATCATAAGACTTCCTCAAATTAAATTCCTCAAGTGGCTTGATAGGTTCTAAAGACAAATGCTTCGACCCTTCATGGTTCAAATAATTCATTTCCCTCAGTGTAGAAGGCAGAAGACCTAGGCCCAGGCCAAGAAGCCCCCAAAGAAGAAGCCTGTTTTCGGGATGGGGCATAGTACGTGGTAGATAAATCTACTGGAGGCAGCAGCTCTGGAAGTGCAATGACATTGCACCATGCACTTTCTTGCCCCCTAGACGGCCGAAACTTTCCAACCTTACGGTATAGATTTCCGGGCTTAAGACTCTTTAGACTCTTAATGATGGCCTTGGGTTCCAAATTGAAAATTTTCTGATCATTTCAGTCCAAGACGTTTCTGAAAAAATCTTGTCTTGTGTTGTGATTGTTGTAGAATTGAGTTTCTTTACTTCGGGCGTTGAAATTAGAGACCAGACACTTTTGCTGGTCACAAAAATTCCACATCAAAATGCAATATGACAAAAAATAATGCGGAAAACATGCAAAAACCGAATGGCGCCAGCGAAATGAGCACACACACTCACTCAGACTCACACAGACCAACCAACCCCAAGCCCCAAACCCAATTTCAATTGCAATTCCGAAACCCCAACTGCAAGTCTGTTCCCCCGGATTCCCCAGTTCCAATTCCAATTCCAGTTAGCAGCTCTCCAAGAACGGGTTTTTATTGCCAGCCAATCGATGGCGATGGAGAGGTCAGAAATGGCTTAAACCCACACACACTGAACTCTATTAACAAATAATAATAATTACAAGAAATCTGTATGCCTCTCGAGAAATACAAAGCCTATTTAATTTTGTGTTTTCAACATCTTCCTATTGACCGATGACAGCTATCTAAGTCGCCGTGACGAAAATCTTTCCTAAAAAGGACAATAAATCAAGGATATATTGTTTTGGCAACCTTCAGCTCCTTCTTTGAACCCTGAACCTCTGACCCCTGGGTTTCCACTTCAAAAAAAAAAACTACCAAAAAACAGTGGAATTCCATAACCAAGTGTGTGTGTTTGGTTATCAGCTTAAATGTATCTGCTAAACCTCGAGCCTCGTTCCCCGATCCCCGCTGCGTAGGTGGCCGAATATTATTCCGAAAGTAGTGTTTCGAGATTGAGATGCCCGGATACCTGATACCTGATAGCAAAATGCAAAGAGGTCGTACCGTCCAAAGGTCGTCCGTCGTAAATCCGAGTGGTACTCGCTGTAGTGTCAGCTACTAACAAGCGTAACAAAGCGGCAACAAAGATGAATGGAAATTGTTACCTGCCAGGTTATGTGTTATGATTATGTACCTGGGCGGAGGTGTTTGCAAGGCTGCCTCAAAGGGACACTGCGAAAAAAACGAGGTAAGTTATTACCTATGACTAGTAGTGGTCATAAATCATATTCATAACTTCCATAAAAGTTCTAAGAATAATTTAAAAGTTCTCTACTGTCTAGTTAAAGATGTGGTTTTCTCTCAGTGCACTCCTGTAGCAGTGCCAACTCATTATAATTTTGTCAATTCTCCCACAGGTGGCTGCGGCAGCCACTGCATTCACACACAAAGGTGAAGATCGAGAGGCATTCACACCAGAGACTTAATAAAAGAATGGCAATTCCAAGGGAGGCGTGTGGGAGGCCAGGAAGCAGACGCATAAATTTACAATTAAATGTAATTCGTTCGCTGGATTTCCGCAAAAAAGGGCCTGGCAACACCACGAGCGATGCCAAGTTGCAACCTGTTGCAAGTTCAACGCTTTCTTTAGTGTTTCGCTGCGCTTGGCTTGCAGCAAATGGCAAAACGGGCAAAACAAAAAATGGGAAAAATGGTAGAAATGGTTGAAAAAATATTCCCAAGCCGCGCTTCTTGGTAGTTGCAAATGTAAGCACCCACACCCATACTTGAAACCAAAACCTAAAAATCCCCAGATAGAGATGGCAATAGCGGGCAACAGAAAGAGAGCAAGCATAATTGAAACTTATACTTTCAGTTCTGCAGCTCCTGCGGCATTTGTTTATGATCCTGTCAACTACCTAAGCCGTGATCCTGTGATCTCGACAATTGTTCCACCTTACTTCCGCCAACTCAGCAAGCCGGATCTAAGGACACCGAGAACCCCGAGAGCCCCGAATCCCAAACCCAGATCACAATCTCGCAGCAGGATGCTAAATCTCATGTTGGCCGTGGAAATTGTAATTGGTTTGGTAAATTGCGAAGGTCGTTGGCTTCGGGAACAAGGTCGTTCGTTCGGCTGTCACGGTCGCTTATCATTCCGCGATGCTGCTCCAAGGTAGAAAGTATCTTCCACATGGGAGCGACAGATACGGATACGGATACAGATACAGATGGCGGTGTAGTATGGGGGCACAAATATTTGTTTAGCGAATTCCTAGCACTTTGTGGAAGTTAAATACGAAATGTAACAACGTTAAGAAAAGCCCCTCAGAAAATGTGATAAAATACTTAAATAGTTAACCTATTTTTCAAACCTTAAGAATAAAAGTAAATAGATTTTTTAATTAAAAACAAAACACGTTTGTTTCCCCAAGACTTCGAATGCACCAATCTTAAGTAGTTTTTCAACAAAACTTCTAAATCAAATCTAAACAATATTTAATACTTAGAAAAGTCTTAGAAAGCTTTAATCGCTTCTTAAGGTTAAGCCTTTAGGGCTCCTTTTACCTCACATCCCGTACTATCTCAAATAATGATGAAATGGCAATTTCTTGGAAAGCTATTCTGGTTGGATTTGCTGAATTCTTTGGTGATGTGTCTGTAGTGTTCTCCCCTTTATCATCGCCACTATTTGTTTACTTAGCTGGGTCTGACAAGACACGAGTCAGAAAACATACCTTTTTTTTTGCGCAATTTTTGGGAAAATACTTTGCAGGTTATTTCCCGAAAAATCAGCTTAATGTGTGAGAAATTTACAGCTCCCAGATGAACAGCCAGATGAGGCCGAATTTCATTGTTTTTCTGTTTCGGTTTTCGGTTACAGTTTCACTGATGTTTCACTACTTAGTTGTGACAGATAAGATTAAAATTAGTCTTAGCCGGGCAAGCCGGTAACTGGGGCCCCCCGATAAGATAAAACTCTCCACAAAAAGAGGCAAGCGAAGCGCACACAAACGGGTTGCCAATGAAGTTGACAACTCGAACGGGCTATGGGGCTATGGCTCTGGCTCTGGCTATGGGAACGGGGACGAGATAGAAAAGGCAGCGATCAAATATGGCAAGGTCGCTTCGCGTCGCATTCCACGGATGTTTGACTTCCTAATTAAATAGATCATCGGCGCACAATTGAGTCTCGACAACAACTCTCTTAATTTAATCAATCTTTCCACCACACTCGTCGCCCATAAAAGGTCCAAAGACAAAGCAAAATTTACGCATTTTGAAATGAGTTCAATAAACACAAGAGCCGAATGTTCGTCACTGAATGCCGGCGAGTGTATTGAACTCTACCGCCGCCCCCATCGGTACACCACCTAACCAATCTACCAGACTACACCGCAAAACATGCCACAAATATGGACATAATGCTATTAATAGTATTGAAGGTCTCTAAAGTATTTTATTAAAAACTAAAGCAGACAGATCGTAGAACTTTTAAAAAAATAGTATGCCTAACTCTACTCTCCTTTCTTTCGGTGTAGACAGCCCTCTTCCCTCCCAGAAATCGCTGGCAAGTTGAACAAACAAGTTTGCTTGGAAATTCTTGAGTAGTATTTGATGTTGATGCTATACGATCCCCCCAACCAGTCCTCCTCCTGCCCCGACAGTTGATAAGTCGTCACATGGAGCCGACATGGAAACCCTACGCCTGCTCCACCACAGTTCCTTCCCCTCCAGCCCCGCCCATTCCGCCCATTAACGCCCACTTTCCCTGGATTGCAGTGCAGAAATGTCAACCCAA